TATTAATATTTACAATACAAAATATGCACCCGCGGCAAATGATTTAGAAGTTGAAAATATTGATGAGAGTGATGTAAATTTAAATCATATTTTTGGAAAAAAACAAATTATTAAACAAAATGAAGTGGAATTATCGAGCAGCACGAAATCAAGATATTCTTTAGCGGAAGGTATGTATTTAATGATATATTATAAAATTTATATAATTTATTAATTTAATTAAATTATATAGTTACATGAAACCGAATATCCACATAAAATATACAAATTTTAAAATACTGTAAAATAAACTTTATACGACGCTTTTTTATTTCGGAGTTAATATTACCCTTGAAATTCAAGTCGGTCCCGGGTTGTCCCGGGTCAAACGAGTCGAATCCGAGTCGAACAATGATCGAATCTCAGGTTCTGTAATTATTAACGGGTTCGAGTTCAAATATGCTTCAAACCCGACCCGACCCGACCCTTACGGAGCATTATTAACGGGTTATTATTTATTTTTTTTTGTTCAATGATTGATAATTCTATAGTTGATGAGACAAAAAAAATTTCTGAAATTTCGGTATTTCTTCCAGAATTTAACGTTTGCATCCCAAATCGGTAGATGCTAATTTTAAGATCGACGCTGAAATGACTTGGAGCTTCAAGTAAATAAGATGTCATTGTTATGAAAATGGGTCCAGAAACCACCCAACAAAATTTATGATTGCACATCTTGGAAATCTTGAACCAATCATAAAGTCGTAATTCATGTTTTGATAAACCTATTACTATATTAAGAAATCAAAAAAAATAAATGTTGATCACATTGATCCATTCATTCCTTTAATCTTTATTTAACTAGCGTTCGTCGGTAAAATCGATTCCGAAAAGTCCATATTATTTTCTCTGATCTACCGGAAACATGTAATAAATTAATATTAATTAAATAATTTTTAAATAATTTAATTTTCAATAATTGAAGCGCGCTTTTCACAACTTCTAGATGCTCTTTATCGACGACTTCTTTTTTTTTGAAGTTTCCAACCAAATATGGTAATCTAATCTAATCTAATCTTATTTATTGTATTTTGCTTCGAATATTTGCTTCGAACATTTCTTGTCGGAATGTTTGGAACGTGTGAGAATCAGTTGAGCCCTTAGAAGGTGAACACAGCTATCTTTGTGACACCGTAATTAATAAAGATAAGAACAAAAAAAAAATAAATAAATAAATAAATAAAAATTTTGAAAGGTAATCGCAAAGAATATTAATAATTTGTACACTTTTGAAATATCTTTGACTTCATACATCATTTATTACTTGCATCACGTATCGTCTTTTGCTTTTCTAATTTTGAAGTGATTCAAGATCTGTCAGAGTGTAAACCAATTGTAATCGATGCACTAAAACCATTAGTTTCACTGATTGCCTACTTTGAAAACAATCATAAAAATTTTATCCATTTTGATATTAGACTAACATGATTTATCTGATTTATTTTACAAAAAGAAAAACATGGAATGATAATCAAATAAGGAAATTAACTTGCTCTATTAAGCATCAATGATAACTTAATTTTAAAACTAGGGATTCTTTATATAAACCATGTTCGAACATGGGTGCCTCAAAAATTAAAATTAAAAAATAAAATACATGCTTTACATTATGGACTTAATTTGTAATATAATTCATAGAGAATTTGTCCTTGTAGAAAATGTTGACGTTCACGACGTACATAAACAACACGAACTTAGGAAACAAACCGTACTTACTGATAAAGCTCTCACTAAGGACGAAAAATCAGAGGCGATAGAGCTATTGACCAAATATTACGAGTATTATAAAATCCTCCATAATGAAGGAACGAGAAGAACCTGTGATAATTGTCACAAGGAATGCTTAGCCACGTCGTATTGTGAGCTTTGTATACGAACTTATTTAAAATCGGATTTTCCCAACTGGACATCTGGTAATTTTGAAATTGATTATTTAATTCAAAAATGTCAAATGGAATCGCTTACACCGTGTAAGATAGTAGGATGGATTCCGTACAATGATTTGAAGGACATTAGATATTTGACTAAGGGTGGTTGTTCAGAAATTGATTCTGCAGTCTGGAGTAATGGATTTTATAACAAATGGAATTCTAAAAATATTAGATTCGAAAGGTATGGAGCCTGCAAGGTTATACTTAAGAAATTAGAAAGTGTTCAAAACGTTAATAACATTTGGTTTGATGAGGTTTGTAATTTTTTTTTTAAAAAAAAAATGTCAAAATTGCAGATCGATTTTTTTGGCGGCATAATAATTTTTTTTTTTTTTTTTTTTAATAAAAATTATATTATTAGGTCGTATCACATTTAACCATAAGCAGCAAACGGGAATTAATTGTGAAATGTTTTGGTCTGACGCAAAATTTATCAGACAACTTTTACATGCTCGTTATAAGGCATATGGACATAGATCTTAGAAAATATCTGTTACAAGATCAACATCAACTTACATGGAAGGAAAGAATTCAACTTAATGTAAATATAATCAATGCGCTTTTAGACATTCACCAAGAAAATGCGATTCATAGAGATTTGCATTCCGGAAATATCTTATATTTAAAATCTTATAATTTATGGTATATTTGTGACCTTGGATTTTGTGGACCCGCCGATAAACCATTGGACAGTATCTACGGAAATCTTCCATACATAGCACCCGAAGTTATTGCTGGAAAGGATTATTCTTTTGCTTCCGATATTTATAGTGTTGGCATACTAATGTGGGAAATTTCATCCGGATTACCCCCTTTTATTAATCAAGATCATGATTTTGATCTCGCGATGAGGATAATAAATGGAATGAGACCAAAAATTGTACCAGGAACTCCTTTAAAATATAGAAAATTAATGGAACAATGTTGGGATGCCGAACCTTCGAAACGACCCGACATAAATAATCTATTGGATAAAATTTTGGAAATTAAACAAACTTTTAAACCAGATGAAAAAATGGAATGTCGTAAAATTAGTATTGATGATGATTCACGGTTACACACAAACTCGATTATTAATTCATTGGCCAAGAATTCCGACAGCAGAAATTATCATTTTAAGGATATGCCTAAACCTAGATATGCAACTAAAGGTAAGGTAGAAAGTTAAAAATGCCTCATAATAATTATGTATTAATTTATATCGCGTTTTCCATTATTTAAATAGAAGAACAAGAAGGTAATCGTTAATTTTCATTTACGTGAATATACATTTTCATTTACATTTAAATTTTAAAATTCTACACATTTTTTTTTAGGTTATCATAGCATGCAAAATGATTTGTTTATTCCTGATTGTAAATATAAATTAAATCATGATTAATGTTTGATAAGAATGAATAAATTCAAGATTATTAATTAACTTCATTATGAAAAATCAAAGTTATTGAAAAGCGGTTCGGAAAAAATGGCTTGACAAGATTTATCGGTAATCTTAATAATTAAAACTTTTTACTGACTTATCGTTAATAATTTAATGTTTAAATTTTACAGATAAAAATAATGAAACGAAGGGCAGATCCGATAGAAGTTATTTTAATAATTCGAATGATAAAATAGTGGACGAAAAGAGTGATTTTACCATTAACTTGCACGAAATGAATTCAAACAATAACAAGAGTGATTATTTATTTAAATTAATAATGTGTAATTGAAATTCTTTGTTTTGATTTTATATATAAATTCACGTTTAAACGGTTTTAAAAATTGTTCTATTGTCACCAAATGCTGCGCCTTTTCTTCAACTTGACCGGTTGTGACCGTAACTATTGGTCGGTCAAAAACTTCTGACCGACCGGTTGACTAACTGATTTTGACCGATTTTAACCTTAACAATTTAAACGTTTTAGATAATAATTTTGTATTTAAATTAATAATCTTTATTTAAATAAAAAAAAATTGTGTAGTCTGAAGCTTCTTCATTTGGATTATTTATTACGTCAGGTAAAAAAACGGCAATTATCGCATGGCATTTATTTGTATTATCGAATTTTATAGCGGTTTCTTGTGATAATGCCTGTTCACGAGCTCATTAGTATGTAAGTCACTTTCAAAAAATCCTTCATACTTTTTTTTAAATTTTTTTAACAAAAAAAAAAAAATTATAACAATTGAATTTTGATCTTACATTATATGCTTGCAAGCCCATCCTTTTTATTCTGGTCAAAAAAAGAAAACTGTTTCATGAGTGTAACTCTCAATTTTGAACTCAAAAAATAATGAGCGGGCGCTTTGTAATTAAATTTCATTCGTTATAAATAGATATGATTATTTATAATAAAGTAAAATATATAAAAAAAAAAGGGGGAAAAAAAAATGCTACGCTTGCGCTGTACGACAGTTATGCATTAAATTTTGTTTATATAAACGAAAATCATATGATCATATTTTAAAATTTAACTCGAATGCGTGATGGCAGGTTTGTGACACGTTGTTGGCCACTCAAAAGAATAAGATTACTAATCATACATAAAATTCCCTTATTCCTACAAGTACATCCGCAACTTGTAACAAACAAACGATCATTTATATAGAACTACATATTTAAAGAAAAAGGGTTTCTCAAAATTAAATTGTAAAAAACGCCACTAGACTTAATATGTGAAACATAATAGACAAAGATTAACTCCGAAAATCTTACTCCGATAAAATTCAATTGTTCTGAAATAAAAAAAAAAATAAAATACCACAATTAGATTATCAACATTCGTTGGAATGTATATAAATACACGTTATTTATTTAATTCATGAACGAAAATATAAACAAAAAAAAAAAAAAAATTGTCTTGGTATTTTTTCTTTTATAAAAAATGGATGGTAAAAAAAAGAAATATAATAGTTTAAATGATTCCGATTTAGGATCAATATACACTTTTCAAAGTCGGGAATCGAAATTTATAGACGATGATCATTCCAATTATTTGGCTATAAGCCCGAACGGGGAGCTTGCTGTGACTTTTAATCCCGGTTTGTATTTTAAAATTGATTATATTTCCTTTCAATCTTGACTTTTTCATTGAATTCACCACTAATTTCGTTCAATCGACTTATCTATGATTTAGAATCTTATGTACTTAAAATTTACTACGTCAACAACTTAACCGCTCCTATAATTTTACATTATGATGAAATGAGAAGATTGAATTTACCTTCTGTGAAGGTATCTTTTTCTTTGGCTATTTCCGATTCCTCAAATGTCCGAGAAAATGTAGAAGATGCATTCGTTGCCGTTTCGTGTTTTTGCGATAAAGATATGACGTCAGATGCTGATGATGATGATTCAGTCGAAAATTCAAGTAATCCTCCAGATGCGGAAAAGGGGGATGATTTTAAAACAGAAATTTCAGCAGAAACATTTGTTTTTTCAGTGATATTAAAAGAGCGTATCGAAACCACTATAGATAAGTACGGTGGGGTCGTTAAATTTTTGAATAACAATTCGGAAAATGAAGCCGTTAAATCGAATGGATTCACTAATCTAATTGTCATGAACGCTTCTGGAATTGCAAAAGCATTTATCGATCATAAGAATCCTTACGTTATCGAACGATCAATATTTAATAATTCTTCGGTCGCGCAAGTATATGAATTTCCAACAACCATTCAAACTAAAATTGATAAATTGTATCAAGATTCTCCTTGTACGAGATTTTTAAATAATATCGTTGAGAATCAATTTTTATTTGTTGAAGATTATAGGAATCAAAGACTTGAATTGTATAATTTACAATCCTTGGATTTAGAGTTGACAATTCGAAAGCGGGATGAAAACTCTCTTTCAACGCAAGCATATGGGAATTCAATTTTCTCCATTTCAAAGTATGGTCACTTATTAGCATATTGTAATGGTACAAAGTGTATTAGGATTCATTTAATGGAAAATGGACTTGAGGTTACGACTAAAGAATTTACTACCGCAAATAAAATCCTTTCAATTTCATTTATTGACGATGATGAAAGATTATTCGTTGTCACTGAAGAAGCATCCGGATATGGTGAAAATGGAAAAATTACATTCACTACATTGATAAATATTTGGGATATTTTCACTTTTAAGAATGACGTACGAAAGTTTGTCGATCAATCAGGCATTTTTAGTTCATTACAAAAGTCAAATAATCGCTCAATAGCTTGTTCAAATGGAATAATACTTGCATCTTTACAGGATGAGGTTATTTGTTCAGTCCTTGAATTATCGGATATTAAACGTAATTTAAAACCATCTAATATATCACAAGATCTTCTCCCAATTACCATTAATCAAGCTCAAGAAAATTCATGGAAAAAGGATAAAAAGGATAAAATCTTTCACACAATCTTTCAACAAGATGGAAAAGGTTTGGATGCTAAGAACGAGCATAAGCGAGTATTAGTCGTTAATAATAAGGAACCTTGGGTTCATCACAAGCAATACAAGCGTATTTCTTCTTACCTTGATGAAGAGAAAACCATTCAACTTATAATCGGAATAACAACAGTTCAAGTTTGGAGGAATAAGGGTCGTGGCTCTAAAAATAGGAGAGTGTTAGAATATATTTGGGTAAATCCAAGTAACAAAATGATTAACGTTTCATCTCTAAAGATCGGAAAGCATGAATTTTCTTTAAATTTGTCATTGCCTTCAACGATTTCCGCTAATTTAAGTCAAAACGTAAACATTCATTGGCCAAATGAAGCTCATGTCCTCAAAGACGCATGTGTTGCTATGGAGTATCTTTACGAACGAAGAGACGAACCTGTAGGGCCGAAAAATCAAGGCAAATATGAAGAATTGGTAGCCGACACGGAGAAACTGATTAAAAAGTGCATCCAAAAAAATCCGGATTTATGGAGTTTATCTGAGATACGATATGACATTATGGCCAATATCATCCGATCAAAGCATATATCGTTATTGCATCGGATTCTATTCGAACATAAAGAAGCAGTTGGCATTAAACAAGATAAAACGAGAATTAGTCGTTACTTGCATATTCCAAGGGAATATCAATGGCCTATAAGAGCGAAAGAAAGTGATTTGATGATTGCTATTAAAAAATCTTCCGGTGGACATCGGAGGGATACAGTTATCGTCGCCATGTTGCTCGAATATTATTCAAATAATGCGGAAAAAGATACAGGTGAGTTAATTGATTTTTCTCGGGAATCCGAAATTTATCACTAAAAAAAATTCTACCTACGATAGGTTGGATGTTTGCAGTGACAAAGGTTCTTCCTTTGCTTAACAATCGTAACTTTGGTATGTAAAGGAACATTTCCTCAATATGTGGCTTGCGTTCTTCATGCTTAATCTATGTCTAAATTATACTTTCATCATTTAAAAACAGAACCTTATTTAAAAGAGTTATTTTACAAGCCTTGCTTTGGATCCAAAATAGAACTTATAGATTCAAAATTTGTGAACCAAAGTAAATTGAAAAAAGGATATAAATCGGAAATTTGTTCTTTAAATCTGAGACCACGACTATTATTGAAGCAAAATGAGTCTTCATTGTGGAATACATTTAAGTTGAAAAAACTGAAAAGAAGATCAAAAGTAACGGATGATGAGGTTACACAAGTAACGGCAGTACGCGTAGTTCCGTTACCAGATTTTACAATTTATCCATCAAAGTCGATTGATAGAACAAATAGTAATTGGATGATTCCGTTAAAATTTATTAAACTCATATTTTGGCCAAGAGGTTATTTGGTTCGAAGTAATGATCAACGTAGCCCTTTTCTAAGGCTTTTAAGAAATAATGAAAATGAACTACTATATGATAATCCAGCAATGGAAGCATGCATTGATTTTAAATGGGGTGCAGCGAGAAATCATTTTTTACGTCATTTTTTATTATTCATAGTCTTTGGGCTCACGTTTGCATTAGTTTCTGGAACTCTCAACATTAGTGAAACGGGTGATAGTGAATTTTTATCATTCTTTTTACTAATCTTATTTTTTTATCTCGGATATTATCTTTTGGCAACTGAATTTGTACAATTGAGATACGAGGGTTTTAAAAGATATTGGAGCATATATAATTTTCTTGATCTTGCATCAATTATTCTTTCATTAGTTACGATGATAAACTTTCTTAGAATATTCTTAAAATGGAATAATATCACAAGTGGTCCTGATTACGACACATCTGATCAAAGTGATTTGTATTATGCCCAATATCTTAAAGATCACGGTGTAACAGCTAGTGATGATCTTAAAGAAGTCGTTATTCCGCAAGCATTTGCGGTTTTGCTTTTATGGTTTGAATTAGTAAGTACCTATCATATTTATTATCTTTTTATCATAGTGATTTTAATTTCTTTATTTATTTATCTAGTTATTATTGACGCGATTCTTTACGAGTAAATATTATATTCATTACTTTATAATTAAATTTTTGTATCATCAATTAAATTATTTTTTTTATTTAAAGGTACTGCGACTTATATTAACATGATTATAAATATCTTAAAAGCTATTTGGCCATTCCTAATTTTTATGGTAAAATTTTATTATGAAATTATAAATATTATTTAAATGAAGCATACGATAATTGATTAATTATTTATTTTAAAAAAATATATTGTGTAGTTAATGACAACCGTTGCTTTCGGTCATGCAATGGTATGCATTATTCAATTAATTTGGTTTCTTTCCTTTTTTTTTTTAAAATCGGAGCTTTGCTATAATAAATCTTTTATTATTTCTTTAATTAAATTTAAAAATAATTAGTATATCACGTTACGAGATCCTAAAAGTATTGGTTTAGATCCTAACGGCGATAGCTATGTGATAGACTCTCCAAATCCGGACGGTACCATAGACTTTAAAATTTCACAAGAGTTTGATATAGCCAAACCCATTGATAATTTTTATGTAACATTTGGGCATTCTATTATGGGAGTTTATTTTTGGATTCTTGGAAGATGGGACCAATTAGAACTTTGGGATTTCTGGCCAGTTCACGTATTTAGTATAGGTAGATATTTCATGTCCTATATATTTAACGTGTTAAATAATCATCAATTAAATTTAAAATTTTATTTTATTTTTAGCCGCAAGTATATTATTGGTCATCATCATGCAGAATTTGTTGGTCGCATTTATGACGGGTGTGTATGACGAAGCAAAAAATAATGTAAAGGTAGCGGTGCTAAGTTATAGAGCTGATTTGATCGCTGATTATGAAACGTTAGAAAAACCATTAGGTAGTTCAAGAGGGAATCCGAGATACATATATTATGTTGGAAGTGCTGAATATCAAGAGGAATGGTTAGATAAAGCTGAAAAATATAGGAAAACTCATAAATCATTACTTGTTGAAGATATTAATAGCCAGATCTTAAAAGACACTAATGATTCAGATGATTCGGATGATGATGATCAAAAAGATCAATTTTTAAATGTAGCAGCAAATAAAGGTAATAATGCTCAAACATTTAAATTGACCGTCGATGACCATGAAGATAAAACTACTGTTACGAATGATGAATTCCTGAAATTACGAGACGAGATGAAGATGTTGCAAAGTGATGTTAAAGAATTGTTATCATTCATTAAGAGTAAATGAGACATTATTAATTTAAATTTATTTAATAATTATCATAATAATATAATATTATCGTTATAATAAATAATCCCGCTCAATAAATTCGCACGAGTTTCTTGCAAATATATATCTGATTACGACATTAAAGATTTCTGTTTTTGTATTGTTATTTTATCGCTCACATGACAGTAATTTATCATTCGACAAATTTTAGCTACGTCACACGGAAGTGGTCACTTTTAAATTTTAACCAACAAAAGTTTATATATAATAATTTATCACGTGACTTCGAAAGATAATACTGTTGTATTCAATTCTTTCGTTAACGTATTTATATACAATTTGAAATATGAGCAGAAGATATTTTTTATTTAATAAGCAATTGATTATTTATGATATAAAGTTCTAATTAGTCAGTATTGCCTCAACCTCGGTTTAGCGATTCAATTTTATTAACTCAAATAAATACTAATCACTAAATGGGAGGGTTGCTATTAAAATCGAGTTACGAACATAACAGCAAACTCCCAAATGCTAATTAATTAAATAATAATCGGAAAAAATAAATGAATCAAAAATATTAAACAACGAATTTAACAAAGTTAAAGCATCAAAATTATGAAGTTTTTAAAATTTCGAAAACGAAAATGTCGCAAAGAAAAAAAAGAAGGATAAGGTGTATGGTATAAATAAAGGAAGGCTGAACATTGCTAAAGAACTTATAAAATTCCAAGTTAAACCCAGCATATATATTAATTAAAATTTCTTATAACTACCGTATGACGCTCTTTGTAATACCTTTCCCCTGTAAAAATATTTTTTGGTTAGTTTCGGAAATCTTTAATGGTAAATGCAAATTTACCATTTATGAAAATCATTTATTTAGATCCAAAAATTATCATAAAGAACTTGTAATAATGAACTTGTAATAATTACAAAAAAATTTAAAAAAATATTTTTATTTATTATTTTATAATTACAGTACAATTATTAAATAAAATCCAATATTTTATAAATACTTGAATAATTATTTGAAATGAAATTATTTATCAAAATAGTTATAAAAAATAATAAAAGTTTATTAAAAAACAAGAATAACAAAAAAATTACAAAGATATTGGTATGCCTAAAAAAAATTAAAGATCATTATATTTTTGAAAATAAAGAATTTAGTATGTATAAACAAGTAAAAAATTTAATATCCAATTAAAACAATTGAAAGATTGAATAAATAAAAAAAAAGATTTAATTAATGCATCTTCAAGAATGCTTAAATTATATAAAGGAAAATTATCTAAATATTTATAATTAGAAGATATCTTATTTAATTGGATTACAAAGCAATAGCAATTACAAAATTCTATTATACAATCACTAATAACTACAAAAGCAATATCGTTTGTACAAAATACAAATCTTTAAAATTTATTAGATATATAAACATTTAAATTTTTTAATAAATAGCTTAATAGTTTTTAAATCAATATAATTTATCAATTAGATTTTGTACAATTATTGCATAATATTTACCTGAAAATCTAGAAGAAAAAATACAATTTTCTAAATTACAATATAATTATTCTTTACATTTAATTGAAAATATGAATAAAACATCTTTTACTTTTGATATTTCTAATTTAATAATAATTGAAAAATGTAACACTTATACAGTTAACATTAGAATTACAGGTAATAAATAAATTTTACTGTAATTCTTAAATGCATGGCTAATAAATAAAATTACTTTTAATTATTATTTCAAATTAAAATATACCTCAAAATAATTTCTTAAAGATATATTTATTTATATAAATGAAAAGAATTGAATTAATAAAATAAAATGCTATGATAAATTGAAAATATTTGGATTAATCAATCTTTATTAAAGATCTGCATTTTCTTGTAATTTTTGATTTATTACATATATATATAATTAATTCAGTTAAAAATCAACTTGCTATAAAAAATATAAATATAGCAATTTTTCTTAGTGATTTAACATCAAAAATTATAACTATTAGATATTGCAATTAATAAGAATTTTAAATTTAAAATATAGATAATTTTTATTTTATATTTATTTTATATAAATACTAAAAAATTAATTTAAAAAGATCTATATACTATAATCAATAGATAGTAGAGAAAATTCATGAAACTATACCTTCAAATTATATTAAAAGGCTATTATATTCATAACTAACTAAATAGGTAAAAATTGCATGAGAATCTCTTAATTCAAATTTAATTAAAAATTTATTTAAATATTATAGAATACCTATTGTAAAATATTTAAATTTAATATAATAGATTTAAATTTTTAGTATATTTAATATTTTAATTGCAATATTTTAATTAAAATAAATAATTTTAAAAAAAATAATTGGTAAGATAAAAATAATCAATATATTATATAGGAAGTAATCAATAGAAAAGGGGAAAATCCACTTTTTAGTTAAAAATTTTTTATTAGTTTATTTTGCCAATCATGATCATGTGAAAAAATTAGCTTAATAACTAAAATTACTCAAGATTTCTTCCTTTTCTATTGATTGCCTCTCTTATATTATATTATATTATAATATTTGACAAAAAGAATTACTATAAAGAATATCTTTTAATAATTAGCAAATAGAGATTTATATTAGTTTAATCTAAACTATTGGTAATACAAATTTAAAAATTTTAATTATTTTATTTTTATTTAACAATAACAAAAAAAATAATATGTAATTGTTTCTTATAAATTTTTATTATAATAATAAATAATAAAAAATTTAATAAAGAATATTATGTAATATCAAAATATTATCTATTATTTTAGGATTTAATTAGTATAATATTTATTAATTATTTGATTTATAATATTAAATTCTCTTTCATTTGAAACACTTAAGGCTAAAATTGCAAAATAAAAAAGCATATAGAATTGCTAAAGCAGAATATTCATCAAAATTATTAATGATTTGGTTTAACTATAAAATATTAGATTGTTTTAAAATTTTAAGTTACTTTATTCTTAAATCAAAAAAAACT